TTCTTAATATCCTCACATGCCTACCACCTTTACCAATATATAGTAGTCACAATCTGCAGTGCCCTCTGCTATTAAACTGTCCTTCCTAACCATGCTTCTGCTGGTGAACTCCAACACTGATATACATCATCAGTTACTGTTCTAACTCAGAGGTGCTTAACCTTTGACCCATAGGCCAAATCCAACCCATGGAGCCATGACATGCAGCCCATGGCAATCCCCATTGGTCAAAAAATATGGCAGCAAGGAGCAGTGGAAGCTCCATGTGGCCTCCAAGCCATTGCCTGCACAGTGGGATCAGAGCTAGCCCATCCCCTGCCCATACAAATGATGTTGTGATGCTTCTCCCCCACCCCATGCATCCAGATTGAAGCCAGGCTGCTCCACCCCCAACATGCATGTCTGGATTGGGGCTCTCTCACCATGCCCTCCAGCACATCCAGATCAGGGCCACTCTGTCCTGTCCTCCCCTACCTGTCCACATAGGGACTATCCTGCCCTGCCTCCGCCCCCAGCAGTCAAATCAGGCCCAACAGACTCCTGGTCTTTGCAGGGCTGTAAGTACAAAGTACCTCCCAGGCACCCCCTGTGGCCTCCAGCCACCCCTGTAGTCACGAGCTAGGCCCCCAGTTAAAATGCGAAGCACAAACCACCCAATTCCTAGCTCAAACCCCACTCCAAGTCGCTAACTGCCATAAAATCCTATCCCCATCTCCTGGCTCCCTCTGAGCCTTCTGGGCACTTTTCAAGTCTGGTTTTCTTCTTCTAACCACTTATCTTGGCTGGAGCCCCTTTCTTGCCAGAACCAAGGCCAGTCTGCCCACTCTGGCTCCGGAACTAAGGTTATCTACCCCCAAGGACTTGATTGAGTAGAAAACCCTGGGTTTTTTTACAAGGACTGGAGGCAAATCCTTTTACGCAAACAATTGCCAAGCTCACTCCCCATTCCTCCCCATTCCTAGATGCCACCTATCCAGTTATCTGTTGGTTTCACTTAACTGCTTTGCTGTGTTTCCAACTATTGCTCACAGCAAGGGCAGCTTGTTCACAAATATCTACCTAGCAGCCTTACCACTCTTGTATTTGTGCTTCTGTGGCTGCTGGCTGATTTGGAGTTTTGCTCCTCTGAGCTACAAAAGTCTGATCCTTAAAGGGACCCTGCTCTTCTCTCTTGCTCTTCATTCCTCAAAGGGTAACAGGGCTGGGGTTCCCTGTTACACAAGCTTTCATTCAAAGATGCTTTTAAGACTGCTTGACTGAGAAGTAACCATAGACAGTTGGGATCAAAATTGCATCCAGAACTTTGCAGGGAGCACATGCAGGAGAATGGATGCTCCCAGCTGGAATTAGCTTGAGAGGTATGGTAATGCCCCAGAGATCCACACATGGTAGTTTCTGTTGAACCTATCATCTGTTCTGTTCTTCATCCACAAAATCCCTGGCCTGAACAAGGGTAACCTACATGAAGGATGGGATAGTTTCAAAACTGTCATGCCCATCCCAGTGCTTCTGATAATCCAAAGCAGAGTCCAACCTCTTGGCTCTTTATCCAAATCCAACCTCCAAAGGTTTCCTAAAAATGAAAGCAGTGTAGTTAACCTCCCATTTACTGCTGGCCTGTACACATGGGCACCTGCTGGAGTATAGCTACCTCTGTATGTTCACACCACAGTTTTCCTAGCACTACCTGGTTTGTGCGTACATGCGCTTTAACTCACTGCATGCCATAACCAAATAGTTCACTGAGTCTGCTGAAGCTACATACCTCACTAGTATAATCCTGAAAGCACGTTTTGTGTTGAGTGTGATCCTTTAGTCACATTTTCATCAGGAAACACTTAGATACTCCCTCATTTGCTATGAGGTGATGATTAGTCATTAGCATTAACTCTGTACTTGCTTTGTGTCACCTTCTTTAGATGCATATATCGTAGCCTGACACCAAATGGCAGAGTCTTCCAAAGAGTTGTCAGGGGTTTTCAACTTTTTTTCAATAAGTGTACCCCTGGCGGCTGGACACAGAGCGGGAGGGGGCAGGTTCAGCACGCAGCCAGATGCAGAACTGGGGGTTGGGTTGGTGGTGTCAGCCACACACGTAGCAGCAGCAGTGCATGGTGGGGGTTGGTGGAGGTGTCTGTGGTGTACGAGCTTCCTCCCCACCCCCACTTCCGGCCACCCAGGCAGTGCCTGCGCAGCCCACAGAGGGGCAGTGCTTCCCTCCTCCACACCCTCCCAGCCCTGCTCCTGGGAGGTCGCGGTACGGCGTGGTGGGTGGCAGCGCTCCATCCCTGCCCACACGTGCCTATCCAAGTACCCTTGGAGGTACGCATACCCCCAATTGACAACCCCTGAGTTACGTGATCTACTTTCCTTAAGCACAAGAACATTTTTCCCTTACATTTTTAACTACATACACTCAGTGCTGTAAAAAAGGATATCAAAGACTTTTTTGCTATTTTTGAGTTTATGTTCTGTATCTCAAGACTTGTTTGACCACTATTGTCGTATGCTGTCTTTTTAAAAGTATGAGTCATTAAAAATGTAAAGTTGAGATGGGACAAGGACACAACTTGGGTTTGATTTAAATATGCATCCCTTCCCCCCTCCCCCTTTTGATGGTCTTTGGTATCTCTGGGTAGGGACTCAGAAAAAGTACCAAAGACAGAAAGTCTCCCGTGAATGTTCCATGTCTTACAGGCATTGTTTGGTCAGTTGTCCTTCACATACACACAGGCTTCCTGTACATGTGCTCAGAGGTGGTTGGGGGGAGGAGGCACATTTTAATTAGAGTGGTTCTCAGTGTCATGGCGCAGGATTCCCAGGGATGGCCATGATGCCCCTAGAGCTCAGTGACCATATCAATTCTGCCCCTGCAGGCACCTTCTTTTCCTGTCTGCCACATCTTGTTGGTATAAACAATAAATAGGGAGGGTGCCCATGAGTCTCTGCATGGTCACTGTCCTGTTGGACCCCACTAAATCCTGTGGGATTTTGGACCCCTTGCTGGGTCTTGCTCTAAGCTGGTGCCTCATGGAACTCTCCAAGCTTTATGAGCTAGATGCATGGCTCCTAAACCTCCCCTTGACCACACCCCATTCCTCACAAGTGGTATATACAGGTGGTATATTCCTCACAGGCACCTCACAGGTGCCTTCCTAATAATGTCTTGACCTAACTCAGCCTCCTGTGGCTACTGGGCTCTATGGCCTCTGTCACTATGCCCTCTCTGGTGCTGGGTTTTCTGCAGCTGTGTCACTGTGCCCTCTCTAGTGCTAGGGCTCTACATGGTAGTGTTCCCCAATGAGGGCTCCTCCTCCTCTATAACCTCATCCCGGTCCACCAGTATAAAAGACAACAGAAAAACAAGCCCCTAGGCTATAGCATAACAATAATAACAGAGGCCACACTCTGCCCCTTTAAGAAGGTAAACTTTTTTATTATTGTGTGCCTCCTAGCCCTAGGTACCTTCTGAGCTCTATTAACCTTGCAGGCAGCAGACCAGGCCATCAAATGTCTCTAAGTAGTTCTTCCCTTCAATAGCAACTTCCCCTGGAAGCTTCCACAGAACTAACTCCTGCCAGCCACAGCCCTGGGGCTTGTATGTGCTCAGGGCTCTGCCTCCTTCTGGTCAGCTCACTGGGTGCAAGTGCCCACTAATTCTCTCATTATCCTGCTGCCCGGGCAACCTGCAGTTGTGGAGCTCTGCCTCAGCTTGCAGGGTTCTCTAGCCTGGCTGTTTCTAGCCCACTGTAGAGCCCTCCTAAAGGAGCAGGACCGCCTTAGTGCCCTGCGACACCAGGTAGCCGCTCTAGTTAAAACGGTCTCAGGTTGCAGCAAGGGAAGTTTAAGTTAGATATTAGGAAACATTTTCTCACTAGAAGCATAGTAAAACACTGGAACAGGTTACCCAGAGAGGTGGTGGAATTTCCATCCTTAGAAGTTTTTTTAAAATCTGGCTAGATAAAGCTTTAGCTGGGATGATCCTGTTTGAGCAGGAGGTTGGACTAGATGACCTCCTGAGGTCCCTTCCAACCCTGCTTATCTATGATTCTATGACTAGGAACTGTCTGAGGGCAAGAAAGGAAAGGATTCATAGAATTATAGAAAATTCAGAAAAGCCTCTGGCCCCAGGCCCACGTGCTTTCTCTCCATCTGGCTTTGGTGACTTACCATGCAGGCACAGTCTCAGCAAAGATGGTTATTGCTCTCACCCAATATCTTGGCTTGGTCCATTTTCCTCTTTGGGTATGCCTTTCCCACTTCTGACCCCCTCTGGCTAGCATGGATCCATGCACACAAAGAAAACGGCTTATTGCTGAATTTCTTTTATTGCATATTTTCATAGGTGCAGGTGTGAGCAAGTGCTAAATGTGTCTCAACCACCATTTTTAAGCATGGGAACACAGATGCATAAGATGCTAGAGTCTGTTAGAGCATGGTAATTACTCTACATTAATCAGTAATTACCTCAATTAATCAAGTGTGCTCCAATGCGCTGTAATTACAGCACGTCACAGCAGCCTCACTGCTCATATGTAGGAGCCCTCAGTGTCTATGATGTTCTTCTTGGGAAACACCTTCCATTCTTCACTGGGAGGAGAGGAAACTTTTTACCCATCTCCCCAATCTCCTGTCTGCAGAAGAAGCAGTGATTTTATTTCCCCTTGTGAACCCAGTACATTCCTTAAACTGTACAGAATTTTGGAAGCCAAAAGACAAACAGGGTCACCCTCCTGGGGCCTGCAGGTCAGGAGCGAGGGGTATCAGCAGAAATGTGGGCGGCTGCAGATTGGGAGTGAGGGGCACCAGCATGGTCTGGGGGGCAGGCTACTGTGGGTCAGGAGTGAAGGGCAACAGCTGGGCAAGGAGTGCTCTGGCTTGAGAGTGAGGGGCAGGGCACAGGCATATCACTGCCCCCCCATCATAGTACTCCAATTGGAATACCAATAAAATAATGTGTTAAATGAAATCATACACATTACTTGTTTGCATGGCAGAAAGGAAAGTTTTATTAGAGAGAATTTTCTTAGGAAATGGTAGACCCGAACCACAGAATGAAGGGATTAAAGTAACTGACTGGCTACAAAGCAAACACAAAATGAAGGCAATGGGCAGCATGCCAAGCCAGATGGTGGCCCATCCAAATTGCTCTAGTAGCATCCGCCTTCTTCTTTGGATGGACACTTAGCCAATGCATTGGTTTCCTGTCTCACTGACTATAGGTCTGTCCAGAAGGTCCTAATACATAGGATGCTTGTGTCCCTCTTTTTGTCCTAGCATTGTTTTGATGGCCCTGTTGAGGAACAAAGAAACCATCATACAGCAGAGAAAGGAAATCTTGTTGGCAACACTGAGTCCTAAAATGTTCCCATTTATTTAACGTCCCACTGCATTAGGAAAAGCATCAAGGAGGAGGGAAAATATCAAGTGGCTACAAGCTTAGAATGAGAAAGACCCACTTGTAATGCTAATAACATGCATTTTAACTTTCCCTGGGAAGGCATGAAATGCCTTTTTTTCTTTAATTTTCTCTTAACAGACAAGTTCTTTTCTCTTTCTTGGCTTTATGGACTTGAAGACTTCCCCAGACCTAGGTACCAGGCTAGTTTTAATTTGCTGTAGTGTAGCAGTGATCAGATTCCGTAAGCAAGGAGGAAGTTGGGGATGCTAGTAAGTCACTAACTAACTGTGAAGAGTATTCTTACCTGTCATCTCACCACCCTGGTACTGAGAGTGGGATGATGAAGAGTAGGACTGGGAGGACCTACCACCTCCTCTGCTGGATCCTACTTGAATTCCTCCTTGAGAGAAGCTGTGGAAAGGAAAGGATTTGGGATAAATGAAGCAACAGCTAATTAACAAAAAAACCTGAAGTAATTCACACATGTATAGCAGATGTGACAGAAATTAACCTATCCTGCACTTAGGAATGCTGGGTTCATTTTTCTAGCTTTGTGATTGACTGTCCTTCCAGGTGTTTTCTGGAAGTCGAAACAACAACACTGAAAGAGTATTCGGCTTTTTGCCTTTTTTCCATACGACAACCAAGACAGCAGTGCAATGCATTTTTGCATGATGGCTGTTCAGATGTCCCAAACAGGACAGAATGAGGTGCAAATCAATGTTCTGGTGTAGATCTGAACAGCCTCTCCTGATTCATCTGATTGTATACTCATTTAAATAAAACGGCCCCTCAGTGCAAGTAGTGTCCAGAACGTTTTGCACAGCCTCCCACCCCAGCATTTCCCACTGTTACCTTAATGACTCTATATCTCCTTTAAACAGTCAGCTAAACTGAACTCTGGCTCTATGACCTGACACCTCCGCAGTGCACATACGTAATGTCTTGCTGTCCTTCCTGCAGCAGTTCTCGGTATGTCGCAATCTCCTGTTCCAGGCGGGTCTTGATGCCAAGGAGCATCTTGTACTCTTGGTTCTGACTCTCCATTTCACAGCGCAACTGAGCCAGTTCCTCCTCCACACAGTTGATCATGGCCTGGATCTGCTGCAGCTGGGCACCATAACGAGCCTCTGTTTCTGCCAAGGAGTTTTCCAGAGAATTTTTCTGGGTATTGAAGAATAAAATACAAAATGGGAGACCTGGGGCAAACTTGATCCCTTTGTTACAGGAATATGGGATTTTACTGTACAAAGCTCTGTGAGTCCTGCAAGGGAAGAGTTTTGCCAAGCTGGATACTCCAATGGTTCAAAAAGAAGGGCAAGCCATGGCCCTTTCTCTCAGTCCCCACATGTGCATGTCAGAGTATATGCAGACAAAACCTGAGGCCATCACGTACCATGCTGATCTGGGCCTGCAGTTCAATCTCCAGGTTTTGGTATTCACGTCTCAGTTCAGTGAGCTGGTGGCTAATTGTCTGCACCTCCTGACCACTTGATGTGACCTGCTGATTCACCTCTTCCATCTGAAATACACAAACACAGAAGTCTCTTTGGTTGTGGGAGGGTCTTCAACCCCTATAAAGACTTTATGAGGATTAGAATAAATAAAAATAATATAGTCATTGGCTTGAAGGCAATCATTCAGGGGTTGTATTAGCTTTTTACTGATATATATTCCAGTGTTACTCAAGCCTAGACTGAAATGCCTACTACCTTCTCATAATTTTCATGTTACTCAGCTTTGCTAATATACATCAGCCTCAATCTGAAATACCTTTGCTATTATACTTCTTGTTCCAACTATACTCTCACCAGTGCACTTCATCACTGATGTGGAGCATTGGATTTTGTTTTGCTGCTAAAAGCCACATGTGATCTATTAATATTAATCTATGCCATTTAGTGTAAGATATATTAATATTTTCCTCTTATTCTTACTTTGTAGCAAAGTGTCCCTTTCTTTTTCTTCAAGGGCAATATGGTAATAGCTTACCTTGACTTCATACCATTGTTCTATTTCTCTTCGGTTTTTTTTAATTATATCCTCATATTCCTCTCTCATGTCATTCAGCATCTTTGTCAGATCTTGACCAGGAGCAGCACTGACTTCCACACTCACATCGCCACCAGTCTGGGACTGGAGTTGTCTCATTTCCTGGCATGAAAGACCAAGCACCAAAGTTAACAAGCAAAAGCATCATACAGCTATGAATAAAGCTCTTATACATGTTGCCTAGCTCTTGAGCAAAAACATAGTCCATGATGAACTCTATAATGATTGTTGCTGAGTTAGTGATACCCTGGGCACATCTACATGAGACACTGACTGCTCAGTAGCCCAATAATACTGCACAGTAGCACGTCGCAGCATGGACAGTGCTAGTATGCTACTGTGCAGTATTATTAGACTAGTGCACAGTAGCATCACTTAAAAGATATTCACCAGCACTACTGCACAGTAACTCTTGTTATTGCATATTTATTTAGTACTTGCTAATACAAATACTAAATAAATGCACAATAATGACTGAGCAGTAGTGTCTTGTGTAGATGTGCCCACTATGGTTTGGACTTGAAGCTAAAGGGAGGAAGCGTAAAAGAGCTAAGTGTTTTGCCAAAGAAAATGTCTACTTGCTATGGTAAAATTGGTCTCTACTTCCCGCCAAGTCACCAGCTGATGTGGATCCTGTGTTTGGTCATGCTGTTGGTCAAACTAATTTGATAGTTACGTTTTTCCTGATGAATGAAGAGTCACCACTTTCCCTGAATTGGTGTGAGTGCAATGGCCTTCATCTGGATTTTCTTCCTCCAGAATGAACATCCAGTAGCCAAGAACAGTCATGCTATAATGACTCTTAAAATGTAGTTTTCTTTCATTCATATTGTTTTAATGGGTTTATCTTACCTCTGCATGGTTCTTCTTGAGTGCATTCAGCTCATCCCTCAATACCTCAAACTCTGATTCCAGGGAAGCCCTAGTACGAGTGAGTTCATCCAGAACCTGGCGCAAGCCATTGACGTCAGCTTCCACATTCTGGCGGATGATCAGTTCATTCTCATACCTGAACCAACCAAGAGGGTCAAAAAAATTAGTGTCTGAGGCTGAGCCCATGATAAAAGTAACCATTATATGTGCCTGTTGGTACAAAAATCAGTCCATTTAGCAAATTTGCAACTCACACCACCTCTCTCCCAAATGGCTTTGAATTTCAATGACTTTTCTTTAAGCATTAGCATAAAAGATTTTCCTTGCTCTTTTACTGTCACTCTCATATGAGTCAGTCTTTCTCTGATGTCAGTACATCGTAATGCACTTAAGAAGATAAATTTAGAAAATATCTTCCCTTAAATTATAAAAATAAAACAAAATTGTCTATATATATTTTTTGACAGTATCGTAACAATGTCCTGACATCTTTTCCTATAATGAGAGAGAGCTCCTGTCTCCTTGGATAGGTCCTCCATCCTCAGTCCCCCTTCACCCAATTAGATATCATATAATAATACACACTGTCCAAAAACAAAATGGGCAAAACCTCAAAGTAATTCTCAATTGTCCTAGAAGAAATTTATTACTTAACTATACTCCACCAATGGTAGTGTCTTCAACACTTCAGTAAAGCTGTACTGAGAGAGAGAGAGAAAGTAATTTGGTAAATAAGAGAGACATATGGTCAATGCGTAACTCAAAAGGTACACAGTCAGCTGCTTCTCTCCTGAAGATCTGAATTTATCATAGCCAAAGACAGATGCAAAAGGAACATTTAGTAATCTCATATAAACACAGCCACTCTTTGAAAGTTCATCTGAACAGCACTGTTGTCTGTTATCATGGATAGGTAACATTGGAACTCTCCTTTGGAAGATGGCTTTGATTTGGTAAATTCACAAGTGGGATGTGAAATGGGTTCATTTGTCTATAATAGAGAAGTACTTACTTCATTCGGAAGTCATCAGCAGTCATCCTGCTGTTATCAATATCCAGAAGCAATTTACTGTTGTCCACAGTTGCAGGAATGATCTGGAAAAGAGGAGGTTACATTTGGACACCCCACATAACGATTCTTCATAGTTGAGAGGTGCTCCAAAAGCAGTGAGAGAGAGAGAACACAAACATTTGCTCAGACTGTCATCTTACTGACAATTCAAAGTTGCAGTTAATGGAAAATAGTGAGCATTTTGTCACTGACATCAGTAGTTACAGGACTGAGCCTAGGATAAAATGTTGCTTCTGCTCATATATAAATCATTAAGTCAGCATCCAGAATATTTATAGTGTTTGGCTTAAAAGGAAAAAAAAATCCACGCACTGCAAAAGAAAATATGAGAGTATCACTATTCAAAAAAAAAAAGGAGCCAAAATATTCAGCATGCTAAGTGATCTCATTAGCCAAAATGCCTGAGATTTTTTAAAGCATGTATTATGTTTTGGCAATACAGACTACAGAAGCCAAGTTTATCAATAAGCAAAACCCGAAGGCTGTCTAACCACAGAGGGTAAGGGGTCTGGAGTGATACCAACTGGAAACAAGGAAAACATGAGGAAAATCATTTCTTTGTTTCAGTCTTTAGGATGCCTTTAATCTGACTAAGAAAGCTATGCATGAATATGTTAGGTGTTGTGCAAATATACAAGGAGACAGAGTTCCAGCCTGCATGTTAATGATTACAATATGAGAATATTTTTTTCTGTACATTTTCACATTAAGTGAGTATCTTCGATGGATCCTTGTAATGTGTTATGTATTCTTCTCAGTTTTTTAACTACTACTCTCAATTTTCTTTATAAGTTCATGAAAAAGGTGAATGAAGTTAACTGAAGCAGGTCAGGATTAATTTAAAAAAATTACTGGTGATCTTTGCCCCCTCTAATTTTGGGAACTTAACTTGACAAGCCTTAAAAATGCCTGATTTTTAAAAGATGGCCAGCAATTTCACGGTTTAGGTTTCTGTACAATCAAGCATATTCTGTATAACTTTTGATCTCATGTGTAATTCTTACTTCCTTCAACTAACAGAACTCAGATGGAGTGGCTGGGAAAGATTCAGTTTGCACAGCCCAGTGCTTCACTGCTCCTTCAGTTACTTATGCACTGAGCACAGCACAGCTCTCTCTCTTCCACCATGCTGTGTCCACAGGAGAACCCCAATCTATAGGTTTTTTGCATGTAGAGCTAGGGGAGTAGCTGGGAAAAGTAGCAACAGGACTGCCTATGCAGATTTCTACCATCAAATGGAAAATTCTTCACTGACCAGCTTTGGCCTTTGCACCGCATTTTGGGAGACTGAACTTTCTGACTCTTTGTCTTCACCAATTAAGGTCTAAAGAGGAAGTCCCACCAAATGAAACACCTTTCCAATGGATAGAAAAAAAACTGTTTCTCACCTGATTTTGGAGTTGTTCAATTGTCTGGTAATATGGGCTGTAGTCTTTGGAGATGCTGGGACCTTGCTTCCTGTACCACTCTCTGATTCTTTGCTCTAGGTCAGCATTTTCTTCCTCCAGCTTGCGCACTTGGTCCAGGTAGGCAGCCAGGCGGTCATTAAGGTTCTGCATGGTTATCTTTTCATTGCCAGTCAGAAGGCCCCCATCCCCACCACCAAAACCACCTCCGAAACCACCACCAAAGCCATCACCAAAGCCACCACCAAAGCCACCTCCAAAACCACCAGAAAAGCCACTACCCAGTCCACCACCAATGCTACCACCACTTACTCCTCCTCCGTACACAGTGCTGCATACTCCCCCACCATAGCTTCCACCACCCAACCTTCCACCACCATAACTACTGCCACCTGCTACAGAGGTGGTATATTTTTTAATAGAGACAGAGGAGCTCCCACCACCACAGCTACCAAAGCCACCACCTCCACCACTTCCATAAGAGCAGCTAGAGGTTTTTCTGATGCTACAGCTCATAATTAGAACAAGGAACTATCCAACCCTTAAAAAAATCTAAAGTTGCAGCTTGGTAGGGAAGCAGATTGTGAAGGCTGTGCCTTTTGGTGCTCTCTATTTATATGTTCTTTCATGGGTGTCAGCAATAGATTAGTCCAGCTTCCCATGGCTTTTGCCAGCCTTATAGTTCCAAGAATTAAGTGCTGGAGGGAATTTCTTTTTACTATGAGATACATACATACCCATTCTGTGTAGTTATATCTGTATTCATGCATGCAAAACATGCACAGAAATTTCAGGTAGGTGGCTTTGTGTAGATTTTATGAAAGATAATGTATTGCTATATTAGCCTGTGAGTGAGACCCATTGTATTGCTGTTTCTATATCCTGGCAATGAATTGCTTATAATGTCAAGAAGTAATCAGGGCACAACTACTGTATTGTGATTCCTTTATTATCATAAGTGGCAGAAATTCTTTCTTCCAACTACCGTTGTTCGTTACTAATCATAAATAATGAATCCCACTTCCTGCACTCTTAGAGTAAGTTTTCTTTCATGCCTTTTGTTTGCTGAATTTTAAAAATGTAGTTTGCCCCTGTTTTTTTTCTATTCTATATGATATACACATTATATATTTAATTTTGTCCTCATTGGATAGCCAATGTAATATATTTTTTCTTCCTTCAACCTGCTTGAGCCATGGTCTTGGCTGCACACCTTTTCTGAAAAGATCTCTGAACATGCATTAGTTTTGAATCATTTTCCTTTAGGAAGAAACTACACAACAGAAATATTAAAAATGTATCACTTGTATAGGAGAAAAGGCTTTACATCTTCTTGCAAGCTACACATTAATTTGTTCCTTTTTTGTTTTACATGAATGGTAGACAGATTACAGTTGCTGTGAAAGAAAATTCTGTCCAGAAATCCGGTAAAAAAGGCTAGATTTTTAATTACACTCCTTACTGAAATTTGTTTAACTGGGAGGCAGTCCTTTCTACAGTGTGGAAACACTTTAAAACAGACCTAATCAAACCACAAAGAATGTAACCCATATGGTGATAGCTCTTTTCTCACACAAAGGACTTAAATTATCAGATAGGTAGGAAAGCCCATAGTGAATGGGAGTGGCTTTCCATAATTCTGACTGGTTAAACTCACTGGGATGATGATCCATGAATAGACACTTTTGTTGGTTTCTTGGGTTTTTCGAGGCTCTGCCAGCATCATCTCTAAGCAATAGGTCTTTTCCTTGCATGAAAAAAATAAACTGCTAATGACTTGTACAACCCCGTATGAGATCTCAGTGTGGAATACATTGTAAATATCTGGTCTCAAGCACAGAAAATTGTTTGAATGAAAAACCCAGAGCCTGGATACTTATCTGAACCACCAAAGCCAAATTGTTCTAAAATCCTCCCAAATCTGAAATCGCATCCAAAATTTAAAATTCAAAATGTTGAATTTCTTTGAATGAAGGAGGTGCTGGTTGTAGCTGTGTTGGTCTAAGGGCATAGGCAGACAAGGTTCTTTGGGTAGATGTGATATCTTTTATTGGACGAACTAAATAATTGGAAAAAATGTTCTTTGTAAGCTTTCGGGTACAGAATGAAAAGGGATGTTTGTACCCAAAAGCTTACAAAGAACAATTTTTCCAATTATTTAGTTGGTCTAATAAAAGATACCACATTTACCCAAAGAACTTGTCTGTCTTTGAATGCAGGATGTATTCCCACAAGAACTGTTGCAGAGAAGAACTCCTAGGGTGACCAGGGGCATAGAGGAACTGTCTTAGAAGAGGAGTCTAAAATAACTTGTCTTTTTATCTTGAAAAATGGAAACTGAGAGGGAATATGACTGCTTTTTACAAGCAGCAGAGGAGGGCAGTCTTCAGCTACAGGACAATGTTAGTACAAAAACAAATAGATACAAACTGACCATGAAAAGAATTAGGCTGAAAATGGGGAAAAAAATTGTAATTATCTGAGAAATGAGGTTCTGGAATAGCTTCCTAATAGTAATGGGAGTAACCAATTTTTAAGATGGAACTTGGTCAGTTTGGGAAAAGGCCTATATGATATAGATATCTATTTCAGCAGCAGATTGGACTTGATGTGCTGGGGTTGCTATGTTCTGCTGTTTTTGTACCTACATACAAACCTTTCAGAGGAAAAGCTACAATGAACCCTGCATTACAGAGCGTTATACAGTCTTTAAGACTGCACAGCTATGACTTCAGAAGCGAAGGGAATTTCTTTGTGAGGAAGTTAGACTATGAAGAGAATTGATCAACATTTTGGATTTTAAATTTTGGATACAATTTCAGATTTGGGAGGACTTTAAAACAATTAGGCTTTGGTGGTTCAGATAAGTATCCAGGCTCTGGGTTTTTCATTCAAACACAATTTTCTGTGCTTGAGACTTTCCTAATGCTGCATTTTTTGTGGCATCCTCCCAAAATGCATTGTGTTCACAATAGCAACTATTACTAAAGGAATCCTTTCATTGCTAGCTTTGCCAATGGTGGGCAAGTTTGCTGGAGGGTCTGGTGAGGGGGTGTAATAACCGGCTGAAGGATGTCAGAGCGTTCATATTTCATTCTCTTGCTTCTCACAGGGCACCCACTTCTTCAGACATATGAAACATAGTTTCTTTTTTTATTAGGATTAATGTGACCACAATACTTTGCCTGCCCTAACTCGTTGGTTTCGAAGGGTTTTTGAAACTGTTTGAGTCACTTGTACAAATGAAATGAGAACTGTTTTTCCATTGGGTGTGTCAAATTTCCTTGGAAGAGTGTTGAGATACTTCCTTATCCTTTCCTGCACGAGGATGATTCCTAACCGGCATTAACTCTGGTAACACTAACTTCATATCACCTTCTCTGCCTCCTGCTTCTCTGGTGGAAAATTCAAAATAGTCACATTATATGCCTTAATCAAATATGGGGTTTGGGGCTTTTCTAATAACTGACCTATACAGAGATCCTGCTATAAAATGAATCATAAAGACTTCATTTTGTTTAGCCTTTCTATTTGTGTTAAATCAAGGCCTGCTGGACCGCTATTGGCATGAGTTATTTGTTTTAATAAAATATAAGTTATTTAAAAATATGAAGTAGAGTTGGGACCAATATATAGCTAGCGTTTGATTGAAATGTACATCCATTCCCTCTGAAGGTGGTTGATATCTCTGTGAGATTCTCCCGCAGCCGTTTCATGTCTTGCATGTCATCTTAACTACTGAATATCTGCTTATTATTTCACCCACAAAAAGCAAGCTGAAATCAAGCCTTTTATTTATTTATACCAAGAGGCCCTTGCCTAATCCTATATGCATTCTCTGCATTAGAAAACACATTTTTACCAGAATGCACAACCTTATCTGTATGAAAAATTGTATTTTCAATTCAGTTTTATATACTAGTAGTTATCTCCCTCTGGAATAACTTATATTAAAACATGTACAAACATATAGGCAATCCTAACCAGTAGCATGAATCATTTTAATTCATGTCTGCACTCTTTGAATTGTAAGTAACAGAAGTAGATTTAGTTTTTATGCACCACAGAATGAACTGTTAGAAACTGAAAACTTTCAGAAGCCACATGTACTGTACATGCCCTTCCCTTTTCCTGGCATCATTTCTCATGCTAACCTTCTGGACCTATGACTTTTTTTATCTTTTGACATATGATACTCATGAAATCAGGGACTGAAGCTAAGAGCAATAACCATTGGATAGCCAGTGTAATAGCAACAAGACAGCCATCTACTTTGTACCAGCTTCTCAAATGACATGAAGCCCCTCTCTCTTCCCCTGTCAGGGTTTCAGTATTAAAAAAGAAGAAAAGGTGAGAGACACTCCTCCAGGAAGAAATGGGAGTCAAGTAACCCTTAGCCCTTGCCATGGTTTGACCAGATTTTCCTGTCATTTCCAGATAGAGTAGAAGGACCATCTTTTACTTAAGGCACCATTGAATTCTATGTGCCTCAGGTGCCCAAGTGTGTTGCTATGCTGCTTGCTCTAACTGAGCCACTGCAAGGTAAATTCAGCCTGTCTGTGTGCCATGGAGTAGACAACAATGACAATCAAGTCTAGGAATATGAATCATCCCTATAATTATGCATTTCATATGCACCTCTATGATTTAGTAATGCAGATAATTACAACAAGCTTCTCAAAAACTCAAGTGACAGGAGTGCACTTCTGTGAGACAACAATACTGAAAATTTCCCCAGTAATACAGGAGCTAGAATCCACAGTTGACCCTGTCCTGTCCCTCAGACCTCAGAGTTAAAATCTGAAGAAACTGTAATATCCCAGACCAGGTGACACAAAGATTATAAATTCCTTTAACTTCATCATGGGATAGATTTAGCAACAGTTGTGAATCCTGTGCTGGATTGCTGACATACACATTACATTTAATGGGGGAATCAAATGAGTCATGGCTTGTGTCTGAAGCTAGTATTTGGGTTACCTACCTGATGAAGTCACTATTTTCTACTGCTCTGCCCAAATTCAATCAGACTATAGGACACCCAGATAAATTTGGCAATACATCCATATTCACTTCTGTCCTCCAAAACCTGTCCCTGTAAACATTATTTTTCTGAATTATTCCTCTTTATTTCTCAGCTAACCCCTATGTGTCCTGATAGCTTTGCAGAATGTGACTCCAGTGTCAAGGTCTTCTGAACGTGCACCTTGCAATTTTACCTGAATGAAAGGCATGTGTATCTGTGTGTTGTTACCTTCTTCCCTGCATATTGTATGCAGCATTTCACTCAACATAGGTACAGTACAATTTTCTAGTAAATGTGTAGAATGAACAACCAGGAGAAATAATGGATGCTAAATTCAGGATCTAGTGTTGGTCCTATGATAACAATTTTCTCATTCAGGGATCTTCACCACAAAAACAAAAAAATAGCTACTAACTACTTGGCTTCAGTATCCCCAGCATGTTTACTGTAAGCAAGGACAGCAACTACTTTCTAATTCCATCTTTATTATTTAGGCTTCCTCATACTA